AGTAATTTTTAAATTGATTTCAATCAATGTTTTTGTAACATTTCAAATTAATATTCTAATTTGTATTTGAAATTGACATAACCACTGTTTTAAAGTATTTTCTATGATATTAGCATGAAAATATTACACAGTACTTATTTGCAAATACTTATATTTTCCAAGTGAAATATATTTTCAATTTAGTGCCATGTTTATACATGACAATGACAAATACAATATTATTAATTTTAGTCAATAGTTTTGTACAAATTATTTTCTACTTTGAATCTGAAATTGCCATAATTGTCATTTTAAAGTGTTTTTATGGTATTAAGAACATTTGTAAAACATGGCATTATTTGCCTAGCATATCCATGTAATTGCCATCTTTAAGAAATTAATGTTGACTTCATAAATGTAAAATGACATTATTTGCCAAACATTTTGAAAAACACTTCACAAATGTAAAATGACATGATTTGCCAAACATATTGAAAAACATGGCATTTTTAAAATAATTTTGCCATTTTCGAAAAATAAACATTATTATATATTTTTCAGATCCAAATTCATTAAATTTAAAATTTTAGAGTAAAAAAATAAAAAAATAAATAAACATCAGATTCAGTCCTTTTTAATCCATGAAAACAGAGAGATGGTGAAAGAAGGAGAAGGAGAAAGAAAAGAAAGAGAAGATATTGATAGACCCAGATACTAACATACAACAATCATAACAGGTATAAAGAAGCAGATAGAAAGATATGTCGAAGATTAAAACCAAATCTGGTATACCGTATGAACTGTCCGCTGCTCTCCCTGGAGAAGGAGAGCAGCGGTAACCCTAATCTCTCTCTATCTTTACTCCTATGCTCTCTAAGCCTCTATACGATTATTAGGGTTCCCGTAGGTTAGCCTCCTTTTATAGGAGAAGTTAGCTAACTTACGGGTTACAAGGAAGCCCACAGGCTGATACACATTTGTGGCCCGTATTACACGTTTATTTAATAACTACACAAATACAAAGATATTTAATTATATTGGACATCATAAAATATTCCTAACAATCTCCCCCTTGGTGTTCAATCATGTTCAATCAGCATTGCAGCGCGGATATCTTTGTCTTTGTTGTTATTCAGCTTCCTTTTACTTTGAACTTGACTTCTGAGGAAGGCTATCTGAAGAAATCCTTGCAAATCTCCCCTTTGATGTCTTCTTGACAATTTGATCTTTGATGCCGGGGGTTGAGGGACCTTCAGTATCTTGCATGTAGTCCTTGCCTCGCAGAAGTTGCTCTTGATCAGCTTGGATGAAGTCTGGTGACGCCTCTAGAATGAATATTCTTTGGAGAATAGGAGACGCCCATGGACTTCATCTTCAGGACATGAGTATTTGACCTCTGTCTCCTCCACAATGTAGTCTTTTTGACTATTTGGAATGAATGCATTTGAGGAGAACTTGTCGGTGGCACAGCGGAACATAATGATTATTGATTTGTGAGTGTAGCTGACCATTTGATTTGAGTTGTAGAGATAGCACAGAAGGTATTGATTTTTGTGATGGAGGAGTGAAGTGTCCCAGAATGATTTGTTCAGTGTTAACAGCATGTGGACGACTGTCCCCCTCATGACGATCCGATGAATCGGGACGTCATGCTTTTATTCTTTTATTCTGTAGAAATAAAATAGGAAAAAGACAGAAATGTAAATGATAAAAGCCCCCCGGGGTCGTGTAGACACCCGTTTTCATCACCATAGAGATAAACTCTAAAGCAATGGCCTGAAAATGTTGGTGATTCTTATGTTGCAACAGCAGGACTTCCTTCCAATTATTAGTCTACATCTGTAATAGATCAGCCCTATGGAAGTTCTTGCTGGTCATGTAGACCTGCAACTGACTCTAAAAGTGCGTCTGTGTCCTAGAAAATTTCAAAACATTTGGGAGTGAGTAACTAGACACGACGTGATCAATGAAAGTTCAGTGGCATGGGGCTGAGGCCACTATAGTCAGTATTACTTGCCTCAGAAGGAGACAGTAATGAGAGATGAGGTTCTCCGTGAAATGTGATTAAACCCCTGTCTGTTGAGAGACAAGTGAGTGGTCTAGGTTAGGGTTGTGCATGCGCCGTTTGGACAAAATGCAGCGACTTCTACCCGGGATCTGAATAAATTCAGTCCTGAACCTATGGGGATAGTCCAGAGTATTTGAGTGGCTAGGAGTAGATGTTCAATTCATAGCAGGCAATTGAGGTAGCAGACTCATCATTGATTATTGTTTTCTTCTCACTCGAGCCTTCTGCTTCCTAATGCTCATAATGTTCACTCACTCACTCGCTCACTTACGCACTTACGCTCGGCTTTGTCCCTTGGGTAGGCTTAGTTGGGTTTACTAAGCCATAGGGACATGTTCTCTCATTACTTTCTTCATTTTCTCTCTGTACTCCCCCTCAACTGGAGTACTCGGTATGCTTTGTCATTGTTAGGCATCGGGAAGGATAACATTGAACACTCCTCCTAAAATGTTGCATCCTTTGAGAGATTCCTTACTTTGTTGGTGTAAGGCGCCAGGAGGAGAAAACTGAAACTCCCCCTCAAAATGTGCAAGGTTTGATTGCTCACAGCTTGTCATACCCGCCATGTGTGTAGAGCAATCTGAACAAGTACCACACATGACGGTTTCCCTGAGCTCACCATGTAGAATTTCAGCATATTGATGATCACATAATGTTGACGAGTCAGGGGAGGCTTCAGCAGTTGATTGTTGATTGTTGTAAGATGACCGTTGACGCGAGGTTGATTGAATTATCTACGATTTTCAGACCTTTACATTGAAGTTTTAGAAAAGCTTTGACCTCAGGGTTGACAATGAAAGAATTTGAACAGATTTGCCTAAGTTTTGACCTGGACATCGGTGATTTACGATGTTTGTCGGAAAACTAACGTTTTGACCCTCAAGGACTGCGAGTGAGGGCGCGTGAGAATGGTTTCTGGGGCATAGCCCGAGAATTAATGTAGATCTTTTCGTTAGCTTTCTAACAAAAAAAGGTTTTCTCAAATCGGATCATCGAGTCCAAAGTTATGGCCAAAACAGTGCGGCGTAGCAGAAAATCTCTAATTTTGAGTTTTTGAGGAATTTCTTCGAAGATGAGGTTCTCGATGTTGAATATCGAGAGCAGGTGGATTTTAAACAAAATTCTAAGGCAATACCTCGAAATCCGAATCTCGAGGTTTAAATCTCGAGATTACAATCTCGAGGTTTAAATATCGAGATTACAATCTCGAGGTTTAAATATCGAGATTACAATCTCGAGGTTTAAATCTCGAGATTACTATCTCGAGGTTGCCTCGAAGAATAATGGCGAAATCCACCTGCAAAACAAACCTCATAATATCGAAATCTGCAGAATTTCAAAATGTTTGGAACATCGAAAACTTTGAAGTTTCGAAAACCTCATAATCTCGAAAACTTGCTGTTTGAAAAACATCAGAACGTCGAAAACTCCTGAAACATTTATAAGCAGGGAATTATTCAGAAATCCTATAATGTAAAGCTTCGATGAACTGCGAAGAATGTCAAGATTCGAATTATGAGTTCAAAGAAACTGCAAACTTTGAAAGATTCAAAACATCAAGAAATTTTGAAAATCTCGAAATCTTCAGAATGTCGAGATCCAAAATATCAAGATCCCAAATGTCGAAATCCCAAAACTCGAAATTCCAAAAGATTTTCAGAGGCAGAATGTCGAAAATCAGATGTCGAGATCTGAATATCGAGATCTAGGATTTCGATAAAGGAGGCCCGGTTTCGAGATTTGATATCGAGATTAGGATGTCGAGTTTTGAAATCTCGAGATTTCAAATGTCGAGAAGTAAATCTCGAGATTTGGGATGTCGAGAAGTGAAACTCGAAATATTATTTCGAGAAGTCAAATGTCGAGACCAGAAGTCGAGACCTTAAAATCGAAACCTCGATCTCGAGATTTGGATGTCGAGATCCTCAATGTCGAAATCCTGCAAAATGAAAACATCGATTTTTGAAAATCTGAAACCTGTTCTGAAAAGCCCTGAAGGTCGAGATTCTCCTGTATCAGTTTCAAGCCAAAAACGTTTCTGCAGCAGTGAAAAAAAAGGATTTTGAGATCTCAATGTAGAGATCTTCGAAATATAAAAATTGCAGAAAACAAAAAAAGAGGTATGCTGCTGGATCGGTTTTGAAAGGCGAGTCCAACAGTATGATTTTTACAAAATTTCGTTCACAAACAAGATTACAGGAGCAAATCTCTACATATTAGAAAAACATAAGAAAAGCAGAGCAATTCTTCGTTAGATCCAAAAAATCGCAGATAGATCCAACCTGTTTCACGCCTCGGCTCTGATACCAATTGATAGACCCAGATACTAACATACAACAATCATAACAGGTATAAAGAAGCAGATAGAAAGATATGTCGAAGATTAAAACCAAATCTGGTATACCGTATGAACTGTCTGATGCTCTCCCTGGAGAAGGAGAGCAGCGGCAACCCTAATCTCTCTCTATCTTTACTCCTCTGCTCTCTAAGCCTCTATACGATTATTAGGGTTCCCGTAAGTTAGCCTCCTTTTATAGGAGAAGTTAGCTAACTTACGGGTTACAAGGAAGCCCACGGGCTGATACACATTTGTGGCCCGTATTACACGTTTAATTAATAACTACACAAATACAAAGATATTTAATTATATTGGACACCATAAAATATTCCTAACAGATATAGATACTTACCTATGTCCATCAATTAGGCTGCCCTCCGCCGCACCACCGCTCTACGCCCTTCACCTCCACCCTTCACCGCCGCACCACTTCCCTACACCCTTCACCACCGCCCTACTCCATCTGAAAATCTGTAGAAATAAATTTAACAGCTGCATGGAATTAATAAAGAGAATAGATTGATGTTGCTGGAGAAACATAAAAAAGATGGGAGAATGAGGGGTTAGGGTGATGAGGATGGGCAAAGAAGATAAAGATAGACGAGAGAGAGTAGCTTTTAATTAGAATAATACAATAAAAGGTATAATTGTAAAGACAAATAAAAAAGTAACGGTGCAACAATCTATTGACTCCTATTTAGGGAATATATCAATTGAGACTCCTATATTGAAATTTTAGTATTGTTTTAGTAGATCAGGAGACCAAATAAACCTAATCTCCATAGTAAGAGTTGCACCAACTGTCCTTGACCTCAAAACTCTGGGAAGAGGACTTCAGACCACGGCATATCACCTTAAGAGGACCGTACGTTGATTTCTCACCCAACCGGGCCATAAACTCCATCTCTAAGCGCGCGAAGATCCCATAGTCGAACGCGCTATTCCCCGACTTCCCTGTCTTGAAAAATTCCGAGTTGCCCGCGTCGAGAGACGCGTTTTGTGCATGGAGACTGAAGGCGATGACATTGTCGAAGCTCTGGGGAGGAAGCGGGGACGGGACGGGCAACACGGCGGACGCCACCAACGTCGGCAGCTCCGCTTCTCTTTTGAAATAGAGTTTCGTTGCTTGCGTGGAGTTGGTGAAGTCAATAGTTTTGTTTTTGTTGGAGTTGACGGCCGTGAGGGTGAAGCTGAAGTCGGCAGTGAGGCCGTCGTCGTCTGTATAAGCGATGTTTGCGATGGTCGCATTCACGACGTGGTAATCCGGTATTATCGAGTCGCTGGAGGACGAGTTATTACTAAGGGCCCAAATAAGAAAACCAAGAGTTATCGCTAGCACTATCACTATAAGGCCACAGTAAACAATTAAACGCAAACGAGAGCATTTCATCGCCATTATGCGATCAAATCAACCTAAGTATGTACGTAGTAAGAGGCGGAGGAGATTTAATTTATATAATGACGGTTTTATTTTACTATCTCCCTTCCGTGAATTTTGCCAAATGTAAAGTAGGTGAGAAATTAGAATAGTAAAAACTGTGTGGTTGAGATTTGTGCAGAGGAGAGAGAAATGTGCAGAAGCACAAATTAGTTGTTTTAATAGGAAAGTGACAAAATTTTTTGGACAACAAAAAAAGGAAAGTTGACAAAGTCCAATGAGATGGAGAGAGTATGTATTACGTTCCTCTTATAGTAGTCAAAATTTGGCAGGGAGATTTCCCGTTTTCAAAAACTTTACAAAAAGTGATACTATCTATGTCTCAAATTGATTTGCAAATTTGACTTTTCTTGCTCAAATACTTTCGCTTTGTTCGCTTGATTATGATGTCAATTGTTAATTATATTCTAATTTGGAGTTTACAACTTTGAAGAGATTTTAATGTTGTTTATGAATATATAAATTTTAATTATTAAAAATTGAATTAATTATCAATATGAAGGATTCACTTTTATTATTGGTTGATAAAAAAATGATGATTTTGCAAAATAATTTAGGACGGAGGACCCTACAAAAAAAGTATCGATTATCAATGACCTAAAAAACACTCCAATAAAACGTGGCAGTTGCGGCACGCCTAGTAGACAAGGAGAAGGGAAGAAATTTCATCAGACAAACATATAAAGCTATATAAAGTCTCATGGCACCTCTGGCAGTCTTCTAGAGTTTTGATGTTGTAGAACAGAGATTCTTGTTTGAAGCTAATGATTTGTTTCACGTACCTTATTTGTGTTTTAAACGCGTTTTTAAAGAGGCGTCCTTCTTTAAACAAAACACACGTTTAAAACGAAAAAAATGTCCATCCATTTAAAAAGGAAAAAACTCATACTTTCGGTTTAAATCGTATATTTCCTGTATTTTACATAAATAGAAATATGAATTGATCAATTAAATAAATTCACTAAATGCATAGGAGATCAACAATAGTTTAAAGGCAAAAAGGAAAACCTCCTCCCCGTGACCCCGTGTTTTTTAATTTGTATTGGCACATTACAAAATATTCAATTATTAAATAATAAAATGAATTGCATGATAGATAAAGCTAGGTATCCTAAAAGACTAAAACTTAAAATACTAAGCTACTAGAATTCTGATGGTTTTTTAAACAAGCATATTAAAATTAAGGTTTCTCTACGTCTGACATTTTTTAGTACTCAATCCGTCCCGAAAAGATTCGCCAAATTGACTTTTCTTGGTCAATGACAATCAACTTTGATTAATTATATTTATTAATACGTAATTATTTTGAATATGAAAATTATATCAAAATGTCCCTTATTCAAAATATTTTCATAAAAGTATAAAATTTATCAATTATATATAAATATAAAAGTTAAAATTATTGTCCAAAGTTGTTATCATTGACCAAGAAAAGTCAATATGACAAACCTTTTCGGGACGGATGTAGTATAAACTTTTACGCACATAAAAAATAAAAGCGTAGAAGTCACACAACTTTATCATATGTCATCCGTCATCTTGGACTTAATTACCATTTCTATTTTTGTTATCAACTTATGCATTTACGAATTATTCATTTATGCAGTAATGAGATTTCCTAGTTTAATATGTGTAAACTTTTATTTCTTTTTACCATATACGTAGTATGTTATTTTGTGAAGTATATAATTTTAGTGTTCAAAATAATACGCTTTTTTCGTTCCAATTTTTGTAATAGATACCTTATTATACATGTAGACGGATTTTTGAGCATCAAATTTTCATTCATAATACCAAAGTCAACAATGTGCGTATAAAATCTCGTTTAATTTTGTTTCTTATATCTAACATAAATCTTTGTAACTAATATAACCTCGTCTTTCCTTTTCTTATGTTTTCTCTTTAAAACCCCAAGTTGAGCGGTTGAGCCTTACACGATTAAGGGTCAACACCGAAACTAGGCCCCACATTTGTGACGCTCAAGTCAATCTTATAAAGCCCATTAAATTTCGATGCGTATAATAGGGCAATTTATATCATGGGATCGGCGCATAATGAGGATGGTGCACCCGATCCCAAAACGACGCAGCATTCATTATTTTTTTTTTTTTTGTTGTTAAAAATTGTAATAACTTTTTTATTTGATATTCGATTTTTATAAATTTTATATCAATTTTTTTATTTTTCATGATCTATCAAATGAGACCAATATTGCTTATGTAATTTTAACAAATTATTTTGAAGTTACATTTGATAATATATCATGAAGTTATATCTTCTTCTGCGCGAGTTACATCTTATTGTACGCGAGTTACATCTTAATGTATGTGAGTTACACCATGAAATAAACCCCTGCTACATTGACGAGCACTTTGTCACGGTGCGTCAAAATAAATTCAATACTAAACACTTATATGTAGTATAGCGTTGTAGAGTTCGTATCCACAGGGAAAGGAATGATTCTCTTTTTATGAAACTAGTAATTAAAAAGGGGGGTTTTGGTTTCGAGTGATTTAATTTAATTAAGAAACTAAGATGAACAATCTATATGTGTTTAATTCAAGAATAAAAGGGACTTGGCTTTGCTACTTTCCACTTGTTGATATATTTTAGTCGATCCTTGTTATATCAATAACTTATCCCCTCTCGAATACTCAATCGAGGAGTATACTGACCGTTCATTAGTAACTCTTACTATTAACAACGACCGTTCATTAATAACTCTTACTATTAATCAAATATAGAACAACGCCGTATACCGATATAATAGTAGCATTCAATCTTTTTAACTCCTTGATGAAATCAATTGAGATTGATAACCTTAACACAACAGTTTCGGTTTAACCAACAAAATTGATCCCTCTTAAGTTTATTAACCACGACCGTGCATTAATAAACCGAAGTTACTTACTTATGAAACCACCAACGATTAATCATCGGTTCGTTGATCGTTTCTAGTAGTAATTAATGTCGGAACGTTAACTAATCGTCACTTAGAAACCCTCCAACATTAATATAGAATGAGATTAAGGGAAGAATTAATAATCAAGAGAAGAAGTTAAGAAAATAACTCACAACTTTAATAATCAACAAGCTTCAAGAGCAAAATCAAGAAAGGAAGTTTAGCTCCTCATTTGGAGACTAAACATAGCTAGAAAATATAAAGAAATGCTATTCTAAACTGAGCTAAAGAGTATGGAAGAAGGGATGAATAAAAGTGAAGGAAAATGGGGCTATTTATAGGTGTTTTACAACACCTTTGGCCGGGTACCTGACCGGGTAAAGTGCCCACCCGACCGGGTGCATGTCAAAATCAAATATTCTCCACGTTCAGGTGATCTTCGGCATGTTAAAGTGTCCCAGATCAAGTCAGACCCGACCGGGTGAAGTCTTCTACCCGGTTGGGTATTTGCCCCTGGACAGTAAAACCTCCTTTTTCTTCACTTCTAAGTCATCCTTTTCAACACCATAATTCCTAATTCCACTTTACAACTTACAAATGAAGATTAAAATACAATTACAACTAAAATCACACAAATGTTTACAATCTAAATAAAACGAAAAACAATACACATCTGATGGATAGTGTACCCGGGGGGTAGCTTATCTGAGGGGTTATTACGAGGAATAACTAGAGAGAAGTCAGAGCAAGTAAGTAGAGAGAGAAAGTATATTAGAAAGTATGCAGCGTGTGTATTGTGACTTGGTTACAAATGGGGAAATGGGGTGCTATTTATAGTAGCAATAAATGTCGGACAGGGACACGTGTCAAGCATCCATTGGTCGAGGGGTCACCTCAACTGGTTGGCGCTGGCAAACGCATGTGGCCGCATTTAATGCGGCTGTTGGATGGGACGTTGCACTGGGTACGGTGATCTGTACGCATGTGGAGCGGATATTATGTCGGAAAAGGCGCCCTCGGCTGTAGATGACTAGCCGAGGGCTCTGAGTACTGGGGACCCCCTTAGTGCCGAGGGCTCCAGTTGCCGAGGGCTACTGATTTTCGCCGTTCTTCCCAGTAACTTTGTTTTCCTGTTTTGGCCCTTCTGTGAGGTTCAGAGCCCTCGGCCAGGGGGCCGAAGGCACCCCTGGTGCGCATTGTGGGCTGCTTGGTACCTTGGGCGCCGTGATTTGGGCCTGTTGTGATTCCCGGGCCTATTGGGCCTTTGTTGGAGTAGTAAGAGTCTGTGGGCCGGGGGTTCCCGGGCCATATACTCCATCAGGAGTCCCTCACTTTTTTTGCCGAAAGGTACTTGAGGGAAAAGGAGTAATTGTGTTTGTCCTCTGCCGTTGTTCCGTTGTAGTTTGTAGAGTTGTGGGTAGTTTGCTGTTTTGTTTATTCTGCCGAGGGTAGTCCCTCAGTTACCCACATGTTGGGACTTGAGGGGGCGTGTTTGTGATTTTTGTGATTTTTCCGAGGGGGTCCTCCAGTCCCCCACTCATTGAGGCACTTGCAAAGTGGTGAAAAGGAGTAGAGTAACCATGTTGCTGTTTTGGGCCGAAGGCTGACACTTTTCGTTTCATTTTGGGGGGATGCCTGGTTAAAAATCTCATTAGGAAAAACTCTGTGGGAAAAAATCCTAATGAGGGAAAAAGAGTGCACCGAATTCCCCCAATGATGAATCGAAAACGTGAAGCCCTGGTTCAAAATGGAGTACAATGCTGATGCCGAAGGCTGTCTTTGTTCTGAGGGCGCATGTGTTGATTTAGCCGGAGGCGTGCTGTTGATATCCTGGCAGGTGCCGAAGGGGAGTCTCTCAATCTGGGGATCGAGGGCGTGATGAATGTGAGTAGTAGTTGAAGTGTTACCGGGGTGTCCCCTGTTTGCTGATTAGTTGGTGAGGGGGGGTATCCGAGGGCTCCCATTACCTGCGTGCCGTAGGCTATCTGTCAATGAGGCGTACTCCCCGGGGGCTACCCGGCCCTCAAAGTACTGAGGGGGGGTCCCCGAGGGGTGGGCCTGT